ATTTATATATATTTTTTTTTTGCCTTGCTGATCACATGAAAGTGAGAGAAGAGAGGGGGTTTTGTAGAGTTATTTCTTTGTGAGTTCCTAATTCTGTTTCACAGGGATTTCAAAGATTTTTTTTTTTTTTCTCTAACACTGAGCCCTGAATTTGGGCTGGTTGGAATCAGCACACACACACACACACCCCAGGTGGTTTTTTTTTAATATATTTTATTGTCTGGGCTGAACATTTGAATGAAATTTTAGAAATGAGGAGATTAATCTATTTATTTTTAAAAATGGGCAGCAAATGAAATGGATTAAAAATGGAATTGCTCCCTGTGCCTTTAGGAGAGGCTGAGAGCTGAGCCTGCAGGAGGGGGGACACTGGGACAAAATCAATTTGTCTCCATCCCTCTTTTATTGGATTTAAAGCTGGAAGAACCCAGCCAGCCCTTCCTAAGTCCCAGCAGCTTTTTACCTTTTAATTCTCATTTCCTCGAGGGCAAATCCATCCCAGGCCTGATGATTTATTCAGGGTGTTTGCAAAAAGCCTCAGCTGCATTAAAATTTCATCCCCTGCCACGAATGGCTTTTATTAAACCACTTTTTTTTAAAATTAAAATATTTTTCCCCCCTTTTTTTTTATTGCAGAAAGGGGAGGGTTGGAAGCAGCTCTCAGAGGGGTTTGGGGGCTGGGATTGGGGTTTGTGTAATTTAGGGAGCAATTGGATGGATTGGGAGCCCCCACTTGCAGCCCAGGAAAAAAAAAAATCAACCTTTTTCTTCTTTATTTTGAAATTATGCAGAAAATAAAGAGAAATATTGGGGTGCAGCTCTTGGCTGGCTGCCTGCACATGGGGAGAGCTGCTGGCTTGCAGTTTGCCCTCTAAAAAGTTCCATTTTTCCTTCTAAAGCTTCAATTTTCCCTCTAAACCTCCAAATTTGTAGTGCCCGACCCCAAAACCTCTCGGTGGAGAGGAGCTGCCTCCTGCTGCGTTTAAAGCATGAAAAAAACCCCAAATACACAAAGTTTGCTCTCAGCTTTTTGGGAAAAAAAAAATTAAAAAAAAAAATAGAAAAAAAAAAAGCAAGAAAAGCCCTGGGTGCTGCTGGGAAATCCCACAGCTCCCCCTGGCATCATCCAGCTCTGGAACTCCTGGAAAAATCGGAATTCTATTCCTTTGCTAAGTGCCTTTGACCTGCTGGAGAGAATTTATTATTTTTTCCCCCTTCTTGTCCTGGGGGAATTTTGGAATTCCTGTTCTGGGTCTCCTCGGCTCCGTGTCCCCAGGGCTGCTGTGGATGCTGGAATTGATGGATTAAAGGGAATTTCTGAAAGAAGAGGAGCTGGTGTGGTTTCTCAGCAAGATTTTGTGATTTATTCCTGGTTCTTGGAGCCTCCTGAATCCTCCTGGGTGGGTTTTTGATTCCCCCAAAAAAAAAAAATCATCTCCCACAGGATGCCAGGCTGGGAGTTGTTTTCCAGCTGCTCTCAAGCCACAACATTCCTCAATATTCTTAAATCCCATCCTAAACCCACCCGTGCCTGAAGAGCCTGAAATGCTGCACGAAATAAAAATGAAATAAAAACCAGCCCCCAAATCCTCCTCGTGCCTGAGCCGAGGTCCTGCCAGCCTGGATTCCACCACCCTTGGGTGCTGGGATGAGTTTTAGGAGCCAGCTCTGCACTCTGGGTGTGGTCACTGCGCTGAAAAGAGAGAGAAAGGACAATAACGTGGATTTATTTAGGGAAAAAAGGCCAATTTTATTGTAGGGACAGTTTGGATTTAAAGTGTGTTATGTGCAGCCAGGACAGGACAGGAGCTCATTGGACAATTGGGAAAAACATCCTTGGGACAGGGGAATTCATAATAAAAATTACTTTATTATGAATTCTACTTTGTTTTTTATCACCTTGGAGACTCCTCCCTAACTGAAGCTGCAGTCAGCTTGTCAGCCTGGGAATGGAGCTGAGAGTCAGGAGAAATCCAGGCCTGGAAAGGAATTTCCAAGCTGGAATTTCCCAGCTCTCTAAATGTGTGTTTTCACATTTGAGTCTCCCTTTTTTTTGGGATTTTCTGCCCCTTTTTTTTTGGCCTCCCCTGTCCGGCAGTTGCTGGGTGTGCTGAGCAGCATCTCCCCGGACACAGAGGCACCAGCACGGAGTGGGAGCACGGAAAAAAAAAAGGGAAATTGAGGCTGTTCCATCCCTGGCAGTGCCCAAAGCCAGGCTGGACATTGGGGTTTGGATCATCCTGGGGCAGTGGGAGCCGTCCCTGCCATGGCAGGAGTGGGATGAGCTGATTTTTCCTGTCCCTCCCAACCCAAAATTCCCTAAAAACCACAAACACGCTGCTCCTCTTCTCTTCTCTTCTCTTCTCTTCTCTTCTCTTCTCTTCTCTTCTCTTCTCTTCTCTTCTCTTCTTCTCTTCTCTTCTCCCCCTCTCCAAACGAGAAGCACTAATGAATTTTTGATAATTAAGGCTCGGGTGAGCCCCTTTGGGATGGGGGATGCTCCCTCCGTGTCCCCCCACCTGTCCCAGGACATCCTGCCGGGGTGGGGGGGGGGTGAACAGCTCCCCAAATTTTCCCTCTGGGAAGCAAAGCCCAGGGGAGGCTCCTGCAAGGAGCTCGGGACGGAATGAAGAATTCCGGCATTGATGGCACTTGGAAAACGGTGTTACATCGAAGAAATGCTAAAAAAAAAAAAATAAATAAAAATCTCCCTGATCATCTCCTGCTCATCCGAGATCAGATTCCTTTCTTTTCTCCACGTGCAAATCCAGTGTGAGGTGAAAGGGCAAATCCAAACCCAGCAAGGACCAAGTTCCTGCTTTTTTTCCCCCCCATCCCTGCTTTTTTTATTTTTCCCCATCCCTGCTTTTTTCCCCCGTCCCTGCTTTATTTATTTTTCCCCATCCCTGTTTTTTTCCCCCATCCCTGCTTTATTTCTTTTCCCCCATCCCTGCTTTTCTTTTTCCCCCCCATCCCTGCTTTTATTTTTCCCCCATCCCTGTTTTTTTTTTCCCCCACCCCTGCCTTCCTGCCCAGCACAGCACCCAGAGCCAGGAGGTGACAGGGATGGAGAAAAAGCAGAAAAATCACCCAGGGCTGAGAAATTCTGTCAAGTGTGGAAACTGAAAGCGAGAGAGCAAAGAGCTCCCCGAAAGTGCCACGAAACCGCGGGCACAGCTGGCAGCAGCTGCTTCCTCACCCGCGGGGTATTTTTGGGGAGGACAGGGAGGGTGAGCTCACAGGATTCCCAAAATTCCAGCGGGATGCACCCGATGGAGGCTCCACCCATCCCATCCCATCCCATCCCATCCCATCCCGTCCCTGCTGGTGCTTCCTGAAGGTTTTTATTCCTATTTATTAATTCTGGGGGAATTTGGAAACAAATCCCGCAGGGCTGATGGACACACAGGGAGCCATAAAATCCTGGAATGGGTTGGGAAGGGAATTTAAATCCCAGATCCATGGGCAGGGAATGGGAATAATTCTGAATTTGTTTTCTGGGCTGTTCCTGTGTGTTTATTCCATAAAATCATAAAATCCTGGGATGGTTTGGGTGGTTTGGGCTGGAAGGGACCTCAAAGATCATCCAGTTCCACCTCCCATTATCCCAGAGTGCTCAATCCCCATCCAGCCTGGCCTTGGACATTTCCAAATCCAAAATTTCTCTGGGAATCCACAATTTCTCTGGGCTGGGGCCTCCCTGATATCCTGCTCCTCCCAGCTCAGTGGGAGAAATTCCTGCCCAAAATGCACTTTGTGGGATTTTTTTAGGGAATCCCAACCCTGATCCAGTGGTTCCCAGCGGTTTCATCCCATTCCCAGCATTGAATCCCTTACCTTGGAAAGGGGATTGGAGTTTTGGAGCCTCTGAATTTGGGGATCCCAAAGCTGGGTGGTCCCAGAGCTGCTCCCTGGAATCCAGGAGCCAGCAGGGATCGTGGGGAAAATCTCAGGAATTCTGGTGGCAACTGGGAAAAAAAAAAAAAAAGAGCCAAGAGATGCCGGTGCCTGAGGCAGGATTGGAGAGGTTCCAGCACCTCAGGAAAGTTCCAGAAACAACATTTAATCACCCCCCATGAAATACCAGCACGGGCAGAGGTTTGGGATTAGGAATTTCAGAGAATTCCATGAGGAATCACAACCAACAGCCACAAAAAAACCCCCAGGAAAGTTTCTCTTGACCCTTTTTATGCCCTCATTTTATGGAGCCATCAGTTCCCAACCCAAATCAGAGACAAGTTCTGTCAGTGAGGCCCTTCTGGTGATAAATCTGACCTTGGACCTTCCCAAAAATGATCCAAAAGCAAAAAAATGGATTCAATATTCCACAAGTTCTGCGAGGGGCAAATAGGATCAGATTATTTGAATTAATTACACCCAGAAATCCCATCCCATGCAGTATTTTCCCATTTGGTAAGGGAGCAGTGATCTCTCT